CTAAAACAGGTTTGATGTTGATTATTAAAGTTGATTTTTTCATTGGATGTTGTTTGTTTACGCAAAAGTTTACTAAAAGAAAGTGTAGTCGAATATTCTGGATTATCAATAAAATATCTTTGAAAATATATCAATCAATATGGTAGCAAAGATTCTGGTGATAACGCTGAAATAGCAGACATGTTTGCAGATTTCTTTCAAAGTACTTACTCTACATTCACATTAAACTCTAATTATGCTTTTAATATTGATAAAATAAACAATTTCCCTACTTTTCTTCTAACAGAAGATGAAGTGTTGAATGGTTTAGTGTCAATAAAGTATTGTTGCTCCCCAGGTCCTGATGGAGTACCTGCGAATATATTGAAAACTTGTGCTTGTGAACTATATAAGCCCCTCACTGCTATTTTTAATCTTTCGCTATCTACAGGATATTTTCCTCTGTTCTGGAGATCTATCCACTTACATAAGTCTGGTAGCAGAAATGTTATTGAGAATTATAGGGGTATTGCAAAATTAAGCGCCATTCCAAAACTTTTCGAACTTCTAGTATCACGTAGAATAATTCATTTCGTTTCGCCAATAATTTCACCTTGTCAACATGGTTTCATAAAAGGGAGATTGACTTTAACTAATCTGATGGAATTAACATGCCATGCACACCATGGATTTTATACAAAGCAACAAACAGATGTAATTTACACTGATTTTAGTGAAGCGTTTGATACGGTGTTACACAAACTTTTATTATTTAAAATTGACGTCATGGGTTTTTCATTCAAAATTTTGTCCTGGATTTCATCCTACTTGCAAAACCGTACTCAAAGCGTGTCTTATAATGATATTTTCTCTAAAAATATTTATGTTCATTCTGGAATCCCTCAAGGTAGCCATTTAGGTCCATTATTATTTGTGTTATACCTTAATGATCTTCCATCAGTGATTAAATTTTCTAAAGTGTTGATGTAAAACTTTTCAGAAATTTAGACTCACAAAATCAAGCCCTTACTCTACAAAATGATTTGCACTCTCTTGAATACTTGTGCAGTATTAACGGCATGTCACTAAATCTTAAAAAATTGTAAAAAAATTATGCCTATCTAAATGTCGTTCAATTTCTACCGATTATTTTATAGGATCTTACAAATTAGATAATGTTGACTCCTTTGTTGATCTTGGCGTTATCTTAGATGATAAATTGCGATTTAATTTGCATATTAAGTCATGCGTAAATAAAGCCAAATCTTTACTAGGATTCATAAAACGATGGTCTAAAGAGTTTGACGACCCTTATGTGACAAAACGTTTATTTGTTAGTCTAGTTCGGCCTACATTAGAATATGGACGTGTATTGTGGAGTCCGTTTTACAGTTGTTAGAATAAAATCGAATCTGTCCAAACACAATTCCTCTTATTTGCTCTTAGAGGTTTGCCTTGGAGTACAGTTGAAGCACTCCCCCCTTATGAAAATCGTTTAAAACTTATTAATCTTCCAACACTAGAACGAAGACGTTTAATGCTAAGATCTATATTTTTAATAAAACTTTTACGCGGTCAAATTGACTCGAAATTTTTAATCGGTGAAATCAAGTTTAATGTACCTGCACGTCTTACTCGTAATTATATATTCCTTTATCTTCCTTTAGTGAGATCTAATTATGAGTTATGTAATTTTAGATCACTATGTGAAACATATAACAACCTGTATAATCGCATCTCTTTATCTGATCCAATACATGTAATAAAAAATTCTATTCTACGTTTAGAACTGTAGAGTGCAAGCAGTTGCCAGATGTTTGTGTTTGTCCTTATTGTTCTGTTGAATTAACTTTAAATTGTAACCGGCTGATGTTTTCTGTAGCCGGGGTTCCCAAAATTACTAACCCTCCATAATCCGGATTATGGGGTGTACATTCTCCCTACGTTATGGGGAGGAGGCCCTCTCGGCCGGCAGGGGCGAGTAAGAGTGGCGTGGGAACGATCGAAAGACTAGTGCTGATTACAAAAACAAGCTGATATGACCGATAAAAAATTAAAAGAAAGCGCGGAACTGTTTTAAAATGCTTAATAGAAGAAATATTTGAACTACTCTAAAAACTGCAAGAATCTTCTATTGATCGAAATAGTTTTTTTTTTTTAATTGCAAAACATTTTCTATAATTTTAAACAATAAATTGGTCTGTTCCCGTAATTTAATTTTTTAAATAACGAATTTTCCTCTATGATATCGAAGAAAATGGTAAAATCTATAGATTCTTGCAGTACGGGAACAGACCAAATGTGTGGCATTCTTGAAATAATGAAGTAAAATTCTCAAAAAAATTTTGAAAATATTAATTGGAAAATTACCACAGAAATTATCAAAGCGGTAAAATGTGTATGTATACGTTAAAAAATAACAGTAAAAAAATTTACATTCTGGTTAGGATTTGATATCTCGATTTACAAATTGAGTCGATTTAGAAGGTATAATCTAAACGCGCCTTAAAAGAAGAACATACAATAGGGAGTGCCAAAGTCGTATTATCCAAGGGAAATTGCAGTAATAAGTAATTTTTGCAGAACATTTTCAATATTAGGTGTGTCTGGTTACTTTTTCAGTAACATTTAGTCATTAAGTTCTAGTTCAGAGAGTATGCCGTTTTTATTCTCTTTTGCGATAATGCTGAGAAAAGTAAACAGACAAAATTTAGTAAGATTTAGCAAATAAACAACTGATTCAAGAAAACATTTTATTTGCGAACAAATAAATTACGAACACTATTATTTGTATTGCATTTAATATTAAAAATAAAATGTACAATAAAAGAAACATTGATTTGATATGTTCCCCGGGAACATTTAAGCTTCTGGCATCAATACATTGCCCTCTTTCTGGAACTTGCCTAAAAATATAAAGAATTAGTTCCTTCCATTTTCTGTAATATTTATACACATTAACTTCAAATTGAACTTTGCAAATTAAAAAAAAGGTTTTGAATAATTTTTGTGTTTGGTCATAAAACAGCTGATCCAAAAATGGATGAGTTTGCAAAATCTTACTGCATAAAATTCTTTCAGTAAACTCCAGTATGTTTTTTGTTGTTGACCTGTCAAACTTGCTCTCTCACTTGACTCTCTTTTACTGGATTTTTGGGTAAACAGACAACATTTAGTAACAATTATTACAATATCGAGTAAACAGGCAGAGCTATTAGGTATGTTCGTTTACTCAATAATTTCTGCAAATTTTTACTGGATGTTGTTTGTTATCCAATAAAACATAGAGAATTGAGAGAGAAAATTTAACAGTTGTTTTACTGAGTACTTGTTGGGAAAATTTAGGCGGTAAAGATTTTTCTGTAATATCAGCTGATATTTTATCAGTTGTTTTAATAAAATTTGTAAACAAACAAAACAATTTGTTTACAAAAAAAATTGAATATTAGATGAATTTTTTTGTACTAGGTGTTTAGACTACTAACGATTTCAAACGTCAATTCCATAGCGTGAACGTCACGTTGATCCTCTTCAAAATCCAGTGGATATTTGACGTATACGCTATGGAATTGACATTTGAGATCGCACGTTTATATCATTAAACATTAAAATGGAAAAAGAAAACGCAATTACCAATAAAAATAAATAATATAAATAAGATTATATCTAGCTTTTCACGGTTTCATTAAAAATTCTAATAAAAATTAGGCATTTATACCGTACCAAACTTTTTGTTGTTGTAATAAGCTGTATCGATACAACATTTTACTGGATGCTGTTAGTCTACTTTTTGGAATTGTCTGCATTTTTCCTTTTTACTCCAAGTAAATTTCTACTGAGTGAATGTGACTGGAAAAGTGAAGGAACATGCCTATTGTATGTGTGAAAACATGTATCAGCTGACGGTCATTTAAATTATCTTAAAACGTGTGTAAATAACCTTAATAATTAACCATAAATCTACATAATTTAAAGGGTATATATCAATGTGCTATTAACATCCTCTATAATGACTTTTTTGACATATATGCAATAGATTTGACAATTTTGATCTATCCAATTTACAAAATCCAGTGCAATGTAAGTATACTACAGATTGATTGATTATTTGTCTGTTTACATAGTTGTGAAAATTTTCATAAAATTTACAAAATGTAAATGGAAAACAATTTAGATTAATGGGGGATTCTTGAAAGTTTTGGAACAGAGTAAATATAAGTTCCGTTCCAGAACCTAAAAGAATCTACTAATTTTACAAGTTTTGCAACTTTTACATGAAAATCGTTCCTGAACCCACAAAACTGAACCAAATTTAAGAGAACACAAAAAAAATTGCGTTCTCCTTATAAACTTTTTACTCGAAAAATTTGTCCGAGTAAAAATGGTAAACAGCCAATGCCAATTTCTGATTGGCCGTTATGTTGATTTTGAAGTATTGCCATCTAATTTTGACATATTTACTAAATATGCGTTTCCGAACTTTTCAAATTATTTTGTTCTCTGAGAGCGATTTTGAAATTTTTCCCTTTTACTAGTTTTACTATTAAAAAAGTACTGGAACAAACCAAAAGTTAAACCGGTAAAAAATCTAATATAAATGTCAGCACTTTTTACTGAAAAAGTTATCTTAGTCCTGATTTATATTTGACAACCTTAGTTGCCTCAATTCTATAGTTTGTATGTGAGAGAATGGAGGTGAATGGAAACCACTCTCGTCCACAAACTGACAATTCGAAGTAAAATTGCCTAATAGTACGTTTACATTTAACCGGATTTCGTTGACCCAGTGGGTTTGAAATTTCAATTCCTTTGAATATATGTCAAATAAATCCTCATAAAGTAGGTCAACCCGGTAAAAAGTTCTAATGTATATGCCGTTTGAAACGGCATTTACATTAGAACTTTTTGCACCCTTAACCTACTTTATGGGTTAACTAAATCCGGTACAATGTAAACTTACTATAAAGTAATTTTGGTATTATTTTCCTTATTAAAAAAATTGTCTATTTTCTTTCTTACAGAATCCGCAAAACATCCGGTGAAATTCTAGTCAATGGCGAACCACAAAATATGAAACAATTTCGCAAAGTATCACGCTATGTCCTACAAGATGATCACATTAGTCCCTACTTCAGTCTCATGGAGACAATGATGTTTGCCAGCGAACTGAAATTGGATACGAAATTTACAATGGAACAACGGCAAAAAGTTATCTATGAAATTTTAGATATTTTACATTTGCGATCACAGGTCAATACGATGATTGCAAATTTATCGGGTGGACAGCGGAAACGTTTGTGTATTGCCTTGGAGCTAATTGATAATCCGTCAGTATTATTTTTAGATGAACCAACGACGTAAGTATTTCGAAATTATTATATAAATGCAGATTTTGTAAAAAAAAACTATTTTTCAGTGGCCTAGATGAATTCTCCGCCTCGCAATGTATACGACTTTTGAAGAAGTTGGCCAAATGTGGCCGAACCATAATTTGTTCGCTGCATTGTCCCTCGGCCACACTGTTTCAGATGTTCGACAAAGTCTATGCCATGTCGGGTGGTCAGTGTATATATCAGGGTGCGGTTAACGATATTGTGCCATATTTACAGCAGTTCGATTTAAATTGTCCCCAGACATATAATCCCACAGATTTTAGTGAGTATGATTTAAATAGGATTTCGAAAATTATTTCAAATTTTTAATAATTTTTACTTTTTATCTTCCTAGTTATCGAAGTGGCAACAAAAATCTATGGTGATTACAACAAAGAATTGGTGGCAACAATTGAAAATGGCAAAATTGCCAAATGGATACCCACGTCCCCCAATAAGTTAGACAATTTTGAAATGTTGCATTCCAAATCATTGGAATCCAAACCCTATTTGGATAATTTAAGCGAAGAGGCAAAGAAAAATACGGCGACTCCTTTCCGCAATTCATGGTGGTGTGAATTTAAAATTTTATTTTTCCATATTTTAAATCAAATGTGGCGTGATAAGGTAGAGTATATTGAAAAAATATTCTAAATAATAAAAAAAATCTAATATTATGTTGCATTTCTTTGCAGTCAAATTGTAAAATGAGAATTGTTATACATATCCTGTCATCGCTTCTAATTGGTTTCACTTATACGAAGGTCACAAGCAATGCTAGCGTTAGCATTTTTACCTATCATCTGTCGATGATAATTATTATTAAATACTTTTTCTTGCCGATGACACCGCTGCTGGCATGTGGTGAGTAAATTTAATTAAAATTTATACGAGTTCAGAAGTAACCAAGGCGGTGGAATCCACCCTGCATTCGGAAAACGTTTTAATTCCGCAATACAGTGGTCCTCTATATCTGTATATCATATCTGTTTCATTTCATGTTGTAATTGTAAAAATTAGATAATAATAATGCCTTTGGTTCTCCTGAATTATCGCGACTGAACTATGTATTTTCAATATCCCTCATCCCATTAATATATATTTTAATTTTTTTATTTTTTTTAATTTTCAGTGCCACGTGATATGATGTATTTGCGGCGAGAATACTTTAATCAATGGTATCGTTTAAGTTCATACTTTATGGCCCTGATATGTGCCCAACTGCCTATGCTGAGTTCGATGGCAGTGCTTGGTTCAGCAATAATCTATGTCTCAAGTGGTCAACCGATGGAATTATATCGTTTTATGTTCTTTGTTGGCATTTCATTTTTAATATCCCTGATGGCATCGAGTTTTGGTTTGCTATTCGGTTCCAGATTTAATGTGGTGGTAAGTAGATATCGAACAAGATCTATTAATACCGGAAAACAGCTGTTTTTTCTCAAGTGTCAAAAACTTTGACAATGAATGAAGTTATCAGCTGCGCTAAATGGACTACCTATTTATTGTTCCATGGCCTGATCTAGAACAAGGATAGAACAAGGTTATCCATGGAGACCAGCTGCATCTCCAGATTGCTGTGAAAATCCATTATTGTGAATTGACTTCCATTATAAAAAGATAAACAAAGTTCAATTTTTTTGGCATTAGACTTAGAGAAAAACAGCAGACTTTCGCTTTTTGGGTGAACTTATTGATAGATCTTGATCTAGAAGAAAATTCAACAAATATATATAAATATATATATATATATATATATTATAACTCATTTTCCCCCATTCTTTCCAGCACGCTCTCTATTTGGCCCCCTATGTCATGGTACTGATGGTTGTAATAGCATCCTATACTGCCGAACGTAATGATCTCTCGATATGGGAACAACTAATGGTCTATAGTAGTTTCCTCAAATATGCCTTGGATGGTTATCTATATGCGCTGTTAGATTTTAATCGTAAGGATTTCCCTTGCCCACCGTCCGAATTGTTTTGCATAACCTCAAAACCTAAATATATTCTTAAATTAGCCGGTAGTTTAAGACCAAGTTATATATTCTCTGTTCTAGGTATGTTTGGTTTCTATGTTCTATTCACCTTCCTATCGTATATGATATTTAAACAACGTTTAGCAAATCATAGAAATTCTAAAGGTAAATTGGCGAAAATTTTTAGGAAAATATTTAATTTTAGATTAGTTAAAATGTAAGTAAATATATTTTTTATAATTGTTAATTTGTATGTAATAATAAAATACATTTTTTGTAGAAAATAAAAAATAATGTTTTTTTTATTAATTTCCCAAAATTATATTTCTACCTCTTTATGAGAAAGCTTTCATATTTTAAAACAGCTGTTTTAAGGAGCTTTTATTTTAATTGAGTACGGATATAAAGAGTTGCCAGTATGCTAGGTTTTTTTTTTGACTTGAAATCCCTCTAATAAAATAAATAAATTGTAATAAATTAAAATTAAGTATAGTTTCATCTGATAATAGTAAAATCGGTATTAAAAAGTCAAAATTATAAATCATACTGTAAAAAATTCCAATCAGATTTTAATATATGCAAAGAGCATTATCGACGCTGTCACGATGGGCCAAGGCTAACGGCCTTGCAGTAAATCCAACAAATACAGAACTGGTTAATGTTCACTAGGAAATGTAAGCTCGGCGTCTTTGCTCTATCAACAATGGATGGAGTGTAGCTTCATACGTCGCCCGAAGCAAAATAACTTGGCACAATCCTGGACTGTCAACTACGATGGAATAGGAACTGGCGAAGAGAGGACAGATTGCACTCTATGCATACAAGAACTCCAGCGAGAAAAGCTGGGGGCTAAAACCATCGACTATACACTGGTTGTATAACACGGTGGTAAGGCCCATCATTTCCTATGGTTCGCTTGTTTGGTAGCACTGCTTGCGCCACAATTCGACATCCACCAAACTAGACAAGGTACAAAGAGCCGCCTCGATTCTAATAACTGGAGCCGCGAGAAGCACCCCACAAGTCGTTATCCCTAGTAGAGACGACTGGAACCGTAGTAACCCTCCTTTGGACGGTTTGGCTTTCTTTACAGACGGACCCAAGATAAAAGAAGGTACAGGGGCCGGCGTCTACTGTGAAAGGCTAGACCTTGAGCTCACCTACAAGCTGGATAGCAACTGTAGTGCTTTCCAAGCTTAAATCTTCGCTATTTGGAAGCAGCGGAATTGATAAAAAGTCTGGATGCAGAGATCGTTGATCTGGTGACTCTGCGGATCTCTGTGGATAGTTAGGCGGCTTTTAAAGCCATCAAATCCTGTAATATCAAATCTGATGTTGTCCTCGAGTGTAGAGCAGTTTTGGGAACACTCACTTACAGCTTTCGGCTGTGTTTGGTACCACCGTGACACGTGGGTAATGAAAAAGCAGACAAATTAGCTAGACGAGGATCTCAATCTACAGATCTAGCAATTCATGCCCAGTCCTGGCCTACAGACGGCACAGACTAGTGGGTGCTTACTTTCCACTGAGTCTTAGGTTCTTCTCAACAACGGAACCTGCTCTAATCTACACCATCATTAGAAAACTAAAGTGGTTAGGAAAGTGGTACCTTGACACGTAATATATATTCTTTCCGATCTCTATAGCCATCGATACTATATCATAATAACCTTCTCGCACTTCCTTGTAAGCTTCTCATCTCTTTCTATCCCCCCTTCTTTTCTCCCCATAGATCTCTCCATATCTGATGGTCTCAGAGTGCTGCAACCACATAAGTGACTGCACATCGTCAAACCAAACCTAGCTTCAATAATAAATAGAAAGTGGACAAGTTGAAGAAGGAGTAAAGACGAAAAAAAAAACGAAAACTGCGCCTGTTCTGTACAACGTGCGCACATTCCACGTGCAGATTCGCAGATTGTGGTCCTTTATACGTTTGCGGGGGTCTTTTACATTAGGGGGTTTCGTTGCTTTTTCATAGTAGAAAGGGTTTTCCGAGTGTGGGCAATTAACCCAACGTCTCCACCCAGCGGGTGATGAAAGTAGCTACCCCAGGTGACACTGCGGGGAGGTCAGTGTCCACAATTGAGATGAAAGAGGCCGTACTATAAATTCCAAGATTTTGACACGCCCAAATATTTTATCTTTAAATATCGCAGCCTATATTCATCTTCAAGCCTACTTGAAAATCTATAAAAAATAAACCGAGCTTATTTTCTTTAAAACCTCTTTAAATATTTACACGCTTCTTTTCGTATACTACTACTTGACCCTGTCTTCTATGGACCAAAACAAATCTATAGAAAAATTAAACCTCCTCATAATCTTTAGGTTAGGGATGTAAATTTTATGAAAATACATCGGATTTTCAATACTTATTAAAAAAATCCCATTTCTTTAAAAATCCCAAATTCTGGCAACACTGCAGCCTAATAAAAACAAATTGTTTTTCATTTCTGATAAGAACGCAATTCTCTTTTACTCTCATTTTGTGATAATAAATCAACAAATAAGAAATAAAAAAAGAAACATTTATAAACTATCTGGTGACCGGCAGAAACTCAATCAGTTAAACAAAACGATTTCAGAAGACGACAACTTCCTTGGTCGATTGCTTCGTCTAATTTATTTCTGAATATTTGTCCCATTTTGTGGCCGGTTACTTTGTCTAACAGCGCACCATGCATTTCGGTATTGTAGGTAGCGGTGTTATTGGTCTAACCACTGCTTTGGAACTGCAAAATAATTTTCCCAATGCCAAAGTGACCATTTTGGCTGATCGTTTTAATGAAGATACGACCAGTTATGTGGCAGCTGGAATATTTAGACCTGGTACCAGTTTTATGGGTCCAACACAAGAGATAACACAGTAAGTTTATATAGTAAAATAACGGTTGGTATTATTTTGAATAATTTTTTTCTTTTTGCAGACAATGGATAACTGATGCCTTCCATTATTGGGATGATATTCGCCGTTCGAGCAAAGCATCTTTGGCAGGTGTATGCCAATTATCAGGTTATATATTCTCCAGTACATCTCCTTCGATAGTAAGAGTAAGTAGTAGTGACCAATTGAGATATGCATGCAGGGATGTATGTATATAGTAGATGTATATATATTTCTAGATTATATTTTTCCAAAGTGTTACTGATAAGATTTGTGTACCTCTGTCTGCAAAAGATTCTTAATTGATTTTAGTGTCGATTATGATAAGCATTTCCTACAGCTAGCTATACAATAATTAAATGTTAATTGTTATTGCCTTAAAAATGGTTGGCAAAAAAAAGAAAAAAAAATAAACAAGTTCGAGTAGTAGGTATAAATTCAATATCGATTGGAAATATAGATCATTATCGAAGATGTAAACAAGGGAATATGGGGGTAGAATGAGAATATAATAATGATTGGAAACATTGATAATTATGTCACAATTTTTAATAAATTTAATAACGAATGAAGACTGACCTATTTGGAAAACATATATCTATTTTCAATTCAATTGAATTAAAATTTAAAATGTATTCGATTTGTGTTCGTTTTGATTGTGAATTATAATGAAATAATTATAAGTAATGCATTCTTCAAATCTTCTCTAATTTGAACTAAATGTGGCCGCTGTAGTTTTCGCATTTTTATGACATTTCTTATCAAAAGAAACGCTATGTTCCTAATTGCCTACTGATACCCTAAGAAATTTGTCAAAATATTAACAGTTTGCTACAAAACAACAAAAAAATTATTCAGGGGTTCAAATGTACCAATTCTGTTTAGTTCGAGTCCCTGGATCACGAAAATACCTTTGGTTTTTCTGGGTCACTTCGAAAATTAATTGTATAATGGTAAATGTAGAGAAAAACATGGTCTCATAGATTTTTAATTTGAGACGCGAATTATATATTTGCTTTATTACGGATTTATATTGTTCTTATTTTCTTTCAGTACAAAAATGTGTATAAGTCATCCATTTTTTAACCGATTCTAAGAGATGGAATCTTATAGAGATGGAATCTTGAAAATAGGAATTGAGGTAGCTTTAAAAATCTTACTTATGTGCACCAAAGGCACTAAATTGTACTAAATTTGGAACAAGGTATTGGAAATGAACAAATAGATCTGGACTTCTTAAATTGAACTTACGATTACTATTTGAAAGCAGGATTGAGGTAGAAATTTGTACTAAAGGGCAGTAATAGAGGTGGAATTCGAAATTATAGTACAACAAAGCATAAGGTATTCACGATTTCCATATAAAATAATGTTTTTTGTATTTCCTTTCCGCATACGAAGTAGCAGTCACTTTGCTAAAATTCTATGTCGATTTATGATAGAGCTTTGAAAATTTCCACATACATTGCTACTACTCCTAGGACATTTGGTATTGATAATGGAATATATATATAGCCCCCATATAAGGGTACACCAAATGTTCGGTATTTTGTGGATTTTTGGTACGTGTTTGGACTGAATTGGCCTTTATTTGGTACTTAGAGTTTTCATTGGCAGCCACATCTTCCTATCAGAATTCATTAATACCGGTCCACGTTTTGGTATAGCCCACATACAACATCACCCCAGCATTTTCCGTATTTTGGTACCCGTTTTACGATAGCTCCCCTATAATTACAGATTCACATTGTGTAGCAAACCGTTCTTCTACAAACTGGCCAAATTTTTACAGTAGACCCCATATAACGGAACCGACTTTTATTCGACATGTTGAGTGTTATGAGGCAGTTTTTTACCCTAATTGGCTGTAATTTCGTTCTCATTGGGTTATTGCATATCCCACGATATATATATCCAAAAATTCTTAAAAAAAAGTAACTTATAGCCTCTAGCTTCGCTCTTCCAAAAAATCTTTGGAAAATTAGGTAAAATTTTCGATACTTCTCGCCCAAAAATTCCACCGATATTCATACCCCAGCTCCACCAACACATCTTTGGAAAATTAGGTTAAATGTTCGTTACTTCTCGTCCATAAATTCCTGGCTTCACAAAAAAACTTTAAAAAATGCACGCCTATTTTTACCTTTTGCTCCACAAAAAAATATATATTTTTTGTTATTTGAATTTTGCCTTGTAAGGGAAAGTAATTTTTTTAAGTGATTATTTATACTCTTTCGAGTTAAAAAAACACTCTTATTTTCAAAAAAAAAAAAAAAAAAAACAGTAAGGAAAGTAGTAATGTCGGACGGGGCCGACCATATGATACCCTTCACGACTTTGGGTATATTCAACAGATGAGTCCTAACAGACGTTGAAGGGCCATAAACACGAAAATGGATCCATAAACAAGTCATTCTGCAACCTATACTAAATTTTTCATTTGGTCAGATATATATATATATATATAATGTGAACCGATTTCAATGAGACTTGCCAGAGATTAAGAAGAAAAGATATATATGAGCTATATCTAAATATGAACCGATTTTCACCGATTCACGACACGACACACTATGTCCTGAAAATTAAAGACTGTGGTGCACCATTTACATTAAATCGGAGGAAAATATATATGGGAGCTATATCTAAATCTAAATCATTGCGTTATGACAAATTTCGTACAAATCGAAATATATGTAGGGACTTTGATACACCATTTACATTAAATCGGACGAAAATATATATGTGAGCTATATCTAAATCTGGACCGATTTTCAAGAAAACTTAACACACATCATTCTAGAAAAATATATATCTAAATCTGGACCGATTTTCAGGAAACTTGACACATATCATTCTAGACCTAATTCAGTACGCTGTGCCAAATTTCGTGCAAATCGAAAGATATATAAGGACCTTGGTAAAAAATCGACGCCTATTTTCACATTCAGTTCACCGAATAATATTAATAATTATAATTATTTTTAATTCACGCCTATTTATATCTATAGCTCTACTAAAAATTTTTAAAAAAATCCTCTCCTATTTTTACCTTTAGCTCCACCAACAAATATTTAAAAAATCCACGCCGATTTTTACCTTCGGATCTTCTAAAAAAAATCCAAGCATTTTTTACCTTCAACACCTCCAAATATTTTATAAAAAGCACGTCTATTTTTGTCATCAGCTCCACCAAAAAATCTTAAAAAACCAACCCAATTTTGTATCGTTTTCTCCCGCAAAAAATTAAAAATCAAAGCCTTTTTTCAATTTTTATTTTTAGATTTAAAAAAAAATCCACGCTTATTTTTAACATCAGTTCTGCAAAAAAAAACAGTAAAATATGAATCCCTTTTTTATCTTCATCTCGGCCAACAAATCATTAAAAAATCCAAGCCTCCTTCAACAAATCTAAGAATAGTTACATCTTCAGCTCCAACAAAAAATCTTTTTTTTCAACTAAAAAACCTCCAAAAAATCTTACAATTTAGGCTGTATAAAAATTTGTAAATGTTTTTAATACAAGACAATTTTCTTCTTATTCCGACGTATGTCCGATGAAAATCTAGTAATTTATCTTCATTGATTTAATTCTCTTTTCAGAATCATTTTATTGAAAAATTACTACCCATTTATCGTCAAGCCACCGATGAGGAATTGAAATTGTGCCAAGGCAATTGGAAATATGGTTCCTTCTTTACCACCTGTGTTACGGAAAGTCGACTTTTCCTGCCCTATGCCACACAAAAGTAAGTTTACAAAATTTTTTTAATTAATTCTTTACTTAAAACTAAAAAAAATGGTCTTCCTTTCAGATTCAAGGAAGCTGGCGGTGTTGTCTTATTCCATCACGTCAATTCATTGAAAGCTCTTCCCGAAAAATATGACATTGTTGTGAATTGTACGGGTATGGGTGCCAAGGAATTGTGTGGTGATCAACAATTGGTACCCATTCGTGGTCAAGTGTTGAAAGTTCGTGCTCCCTGGATTAAGACAGCATTCTATGGTGATTATGATACATATATTGTACCCGGCTTTGAGACAGTGACTCTTGGTGGTTGTCGTCAATATGATAGTTACAATGCGGATGTTTGTAAATACGATTCAATGGCCATTAAGGAACGTTGCTATAACATGTTGCCAAGTTTGCATAAAGCCGAGGTTGTACGTGAATTGGTGGGATTGAGACCGCACCGCTCTGTTGTACGTGTTGAAAAGGAAATTATGCAACGTTCGGATGATGGCAGCCCAATAGGTCTATTTATATCTTTAGCTACATTAAAAAAAAAATTTAAAAAAATCCTCGCCTATTTTTACCTTTAGCTCCACCAACAAATATTTAAAAAATCCACGATTTTTTTACTTTCAGCTCCACCAAAAAAATTTAAAAAATCCAAGCCTTTTTTACCTTCAACACCTCCAAATATTTCATAAAAAGTACGTCTATTTTTGTCATCAGCTCCACCAAAAAATCTTAAAAAACCACCCAATTTTGTTCACAATTATGGTCATGGTGGTTATGGTGTTACCACGGCTCCGGGTACGGCGAAATATGCTGTTAAATTGGTTCGTGAATTGTTGGTGGGCAATAGTAAATTGTAAAAAAGAAATAGAAATGTGTGATGATGTCAGTTGTTGTTGGAAAGTTAATACAAGAGATTTTGTATTTTTAGATTCCACAACTTGTTTAAATGTTATAAATATTAATATGTTATTATAATTCCAATAAAGATATTTGGTCTGTTCCCGTACTGCAATAATCTACTATTTTTTACTACGATAACACTTTTTTCCTTTATGATATCGAAAAAAATAGTAAAAACTCGTAGATTCTGGCAGTACGGGAACAGACCAATTGTTATATTTTACCTTTTTTGTGTTTTTGTCATAAAAATAAATTTTATAGTTTTGCAATAATTGCCTTATTGGAATACCATGGTACAATTATAAAAGGTAACAGCAAATCCCAGCTGATTTGATTCCAACGTTATACTAGTGTCAATATGAATTTGACAAATTATGTTTTTAAAAATCACCCAACAGGAAAATTGGGAACGCATACAATTTGAAATTGTTCTTTATTAATGTGCTCCCGTATTCAATTTACTCAATCTGCCTGCTGGGAAAGTTTGAGGAAGCAAATCTTTCTTGAAGGAATAACTCGCTATTCCCAGCATTGTCATATGTGTTACACATATATATGACAATGGCTCAATTAAAGGAAAGATGTGGAAGCGATAGAAATATAAATTTGATAGATTTTCATTCATGTTTTTCAATTTTTATTTTGAGGATTCAAAAATATTCCATTTTCAAAATAAAAGTAATTTGATGATAATTTGTTTGTTTGTTTACATTTTTCTGTCAAATGAGTTGACACTAGTAGAACTTACAACAACAATTTTCCATGTGGTTGTTGTATCGTTTTTTGTACAACAACACTTGCTGTTACCTTTTATTATTATACCATGTTGGAATACGATTATTTAGATATCATAACTGTCAAAGATTAAAATTTTACAGTAAGAAAAGGTTATACAAAATTTATTTTTTTATAGTTCGAAGTGATTTTTATGATCCTTGTTTATCTTCAATGATAAAACCAGAACGTTAGAGTTGCTTACTTTATTAAACGTAAGGACTTTTCGAACCTCGCAATTTTATTTGATATTTTGAATTTTAATTGGTTCTAAAAGTTCCCCTCTTAAGTGCAAGCAATTTAGTTAATGGCAGATTTACTACTTCTGTATGAAATGAGTTAGGAAAATAGGACTTAAAATTCCAACTTGCAAGGTTAGTAGCTATTACGTACCAACCGAAAATATACGTACGAATCTGAGTCGATTAATTTAAATTACACATCGTGTTCGCTTGCGTATGAAAAGCAATTATAAATGAGCATCTAAAAATATTTTGATAAATAGTGGATTCATACAGTTTCTTCATAATAACCAGAGGGGCATGGCCGGGCATATATGTATATAGTTTGTTGGAAAAGAAAAATGGAAAAATATATTGACTTGTCTTAATGGGGTGAGGATTTGAGGAGGGTAGTCGTAGAAATTATTATATAGAAAATAAACTTAATTTTGCTGTCTGGAGGGACACCTATTTAGCATTCCGGGACAATGTGCTCTCGATATGAATTGAGAACATTGCTATACCCGTATCTTAGTTGTGGCAGAATCGAACGGGTTTGCCTAGGAAGAAGCCTCTCACTGTCCAAAATTGCAGGCGAATGTTGGTGTAGGACTTTATTGCATCTGTAGCTATTTATGATTTCCGAGAACGCCTGTGGATGCATGGATTTTATCCCGTTCGCTATCGACGATCTGTTGACGTCTGATGGTTTTACGCATTTGATGGCTTCCCGGTAGCGCCTGGTCTCCTCTTTGAGGTAATCGACGCTTGTCATCTGGATACACCTGTTTGCATTTCGGAGTGCATTATTTTGAGTAGTTTGCAAAGATCTCCATTGTGCGTCACTAAGGAAAGAAGACCCGATTGGGAATGCTTAATTAAGGATGGAAAGACCAATGGCCTCGCATTTTTATCCTTGCCCCAGGAGGTGCCAGCCAAAGTTTTCAGAAGTTTATTCCTGGCTTTCACCTTCTGATTAACGTAGTTGGAATGCAAGTCAAAATAAAGGAGGTTATCGAAGACCATCCCAAGGATTTTCGGAATTCGCCTATCTTCGATGGAAATGTCAAGTTTTATATTGATTTCAAGCGTCCAGAAAGTGAAAAGTTTCACAGTAGACTGCAGTGGTGATATCTTGTTTTGCACGGCGTACCCACAAGAATAAGGTGAGCATGATGAGCTTTGACGTACAAACTATACTACAGATCACTGATTCTGTCACACTTACCGATAAGAAAATCCGACCCGATCAATTCATAGATAAGCACAGTAATGACTTAGATATCTTGATTGTGACAGATCATTTGTTCCGACCGTCTCTTGCGCAGCTTTTCAAATTTGCGCCAAAATGTTGTCTTCCACTTGATCTTTCCATCGGATTCAGTTGGCTCGCGTTTATATGCTTTATGAGGTGGGGCATCCTCATCCATTCTCACAACATGACGTAGCTGCAGCTCGATGCGTCTTACTTTGTCTATGTCCGAGAATATATGGTACAACTCATGGTTCATTCGACAGAGATATTTACAGTCAACGCAGATCGGCCCATATATCTCTCGGAGAATTTTTCTCTCAAACACTCTAAGAGCTGCCTCATCGGATTGAGCAAGAACCCATGCTTCAGATTCTGTTGCTTATTCTTTTTCCGAATTGCTTACTTAGACCATAGTAGCATCTGTTGGCCAACACTATTCTCTTCCGAATTTCAAAATGGATGCCATTAGTTGTGACTACCTTATCGCCTTGTTCCCATTTTTTGGGCACAAGACACAGATTGCTGGGGTTCCAATCGTTGGATATGCATTCCTCTAGCCAAATTGTACTAATCAGATGGTGTATGCTCCTGTCCAGCATCTGAATAACGGTCTTGAATAGTCCGACTGGTAATCCATCGACACTTGCTGCTTTATTGTACTTCAGCCGATTAATTGTTATTCTGACCTAATCTTGGTTAGGTGGTATACAATCTATACCGCTATCTCTTATTGGTACCTCCTTGCCGCAACTATTCGATACCAGAAGCTTTGCAAAATGCTCAATACCCTATCTATATCTGTCACCAGGTTTCCATCTTCATCTCCTGCACCAAAGCTTTCGATTTGGTGTTTTACTCGTTGGAAAAAATTTCCGGACTTCATTCTGACTCCTGTACATTCCTACTCCGGTTAGAAGAAGAACCAAATTCTCAAATATAAATACCGAACAAGTTAAATATAGAAGCTGATCTACCGGTAGGATTTTTTAACAAATAATTTGGCCACTTGTTGCCGTTTCACAGCACAATGTAGCGGCATAAATCCATCCATTCGGACTTTGTAATCGATCCCCATAATTAATTTATTATTATTTTTTTAATTAAAACAAAATCCAAAACAACCCGCCAAATGAGCGAACCGAAAAACAATTCGTTGTGCTATCCACTGTAAAATGATTGCTTGTCGGCTTTCCAATTGGATTTTCACTGCTGATAGTACTTCGGCCCTTTTGTACACACACTTATTCGTAAACAACCATGTTTTGCTATTTTATGTTGTGTTCCCTCTTTTATCGTTCGTTCTCTCTCTGTCGCACCTATTCGTATCATTTGGAATAGTTCCTAACGTTCATGTTCCGGAATTTGTATCTTTGAACTAGTTCGTGGTTTTGACAAAACATTAGCAAGTCTACGAAGAAAAAAGAAAATTGAAAATTACAAAAATAAACAAAAACATTGGAAAAAAACGATTCGTATTCGAAATCTTAGTTAGAATTAGGCTGATTGTTGTGTTGACACCAGAATCGTAGTGCAGTTGCACAACGGAGAGATCAAGTAGTGACGTAGACGAATATCAACTAAAAAATATTTGGAGAGAAAATCAGGAATAATCACGACGAAATTGTTTGCACGAAAAATGTCAACACCACAAAGTCCGAGTGAGGTGAGTTATTATTAATAATTAATTTATATTTAATTGCCTGGTCTAATTATTACTGCCACGACTTCAAGAACACAACACAAAAAATCCCCCCGGTTGACCTGGTAACAGAAACAGTGTCGTTATTGATATTCTAAAAGAGATTTACGAGTTAATCACCCCTTTTTATGTGAAAGGGGGGCTTTTGGTGGTATTGTATATTACAGGTATGTGCTGCACTCTACAACTGCCCTTTTTGGGATGTATCAAAGGGAAAGACGGGGAGTAGTGGAATTTTTTGGTGGTATTAAAAGTTTCTTTGTTTTCCTTGGGCCAGGCAGACAAAGAAGTTTCTATGCGTTTCGTTGAATCGCGATATAGCAAAAATAAGAAGAACAACAATAACAACAACAGCATCCCAGCATGTGTGTACATATTGGTCTGTTTTCATTTTCAATATGGACCTACTGACAAATTATCTTATTTGTTTTTTGTAGTTGTTGTTATTTCTAGCTGTTGGGATGGTGTATTTTTTCCATTGTCATAATAGTGTGAAGTAAAAACTTTTGGGAGTTTTACAAGTTTTCCTATGAATACTCCTTTGTACAAACCTGTTTAAAACAATAGAACATTTTGTTTTAAACGGATTTAAACATGAATTATTTTAGGAACTAGTCTTCTTTAGGGGCTAGTGGTGGGTCGTTTTCATTACATCGGTATAAATTATTTATTGCGGAAATCTGTATTTCCGTAAGTATGGGCCTCCAAAGTTCCACTTGGACCCTTGTATTTTTTCATGATTTAGAAAATTCACTATGACAATATGGGTATAATTTATAGCGTTATCTTCCCTTACTTCCATATTTTAAAATTCACCACTACAATATCCTGTTTATAGAACAGACATACAATCTTTAGAGGACCTTTGAAATGGAATCGGTCGAAATTAAATGTGTGATCTACATAGATATTTGAACCTATTATAAAACCCCCTACACATGTCATTCTGAAATCTATGAAAAAGTTCATGTCAATCGAGGAGACTTGAATTATTTGGTGCACCATTTGTATGAAACCGAGCAAAATTGTGTATGTATATAAATCTGGGCCTCCACAATTCTATCTCATGGCTTCTCGGCGAGCCATTTATATAAAATCAGACGAAAATATATGGGAGCTATGTCTAAATCTAAACTAATTTTTGCAACTTTAGTACACATAACATTAAACTTATCTCTTTCAAATTTCGCACAAACATCGAACAACGAAAATATATTTGGGTGCTTTATCTAAACTGAATTGATCTCAAAAAAATTTCGTATACGTCTATCAGGGCCAGTATACTGCGCAATATATTGCGAGTTTGATGCACCATTTACATAGAATCGGGCGAAACTATTTATGGGAGCTATATCTAAATCTGAACTGATTCCAACAAAATGAGGACATAATTCAGTACGCTGTTGAAAATGTTGTCTGGATCGGATAAATATTGGGTGTTTGGTGAAACATTTAGATAAAATCGGACGAAACAATATATATGAGAGCTATATTTATCTCTGAACCGATTCCAACAAAATCAGGACATCAATCAATCAGGACATAATTCCGTACGCTGTGTAAAATTTTGACCCAATCGGACAATCTGTGGGAGTTTGGTGCACCGTTTACATAAAATCGGACGAAAATATATATGGAAGTTATATCTAAATCTGAACCGTTTTCAACAAAACTTCGCACACATCAATCTGCACCTAATTCTGTACGCTATGCAACATCTTGTGTCAATCAGCCTAACTTTAGGTCTTTTTGTGCACCATTTACATAAAATCGATCGAAGCTATATATAGGAGCTATATCTAAATCTGGACTAAATTCAGTACGCAGTGCAAATTTTTGTTTCGATCGGACAAATATTAGGTGTTTAGTGCACCATTTAGATAAAATCGGACGAAAATATGAATTAACTCCGAAAGTGATTTTATGCATATTCTCAAAAGGAACCATGTGTCTATCTCGTTTTCTTTTGCCTTTTACAAACATATATAATTATATTAACGTATAAAAAAGTCCATAAAAAAGTCCAGTGACATCCCAGGTAACAATTGTGTGCTGGTGCCCACGAATTCGGAAAGTTTTGCCGAAGAAAAAATGGAAAATTTGCAGATAATAGGAAGACTTTCGGAACCTTTAAGAAGTTCTAAAAATATCGTTCGTGTGATCTAAAATTCGGAAAATGATCGGGTGTTTATTTCGATTTCGGAAATTTATCGAATGCTTGATCCGAAATTCGGATGTTTGTCTGGTGTTTGATCAAAAATTTAAAAAAACAGAATACTTTGGAACGTTTTATTTGAAAGTTGTAAAATATTCGGACATTTCTTCTTTCCTTCTTAAATACGATGACTTTGTTCCTACATTTTGATCAGAGTTGTATGTCCTTCGACCTGAAAATTACGTTGGATGTCTTAAATTTAAATGGGCAAAAAATTGCATATGGACTGTAGCAAAAGGTGGTTCTAATGAGCCTATGCCTATGTCCTAAATCAATAATTTGGAATATTGTTATTCAATAGCCAGTAAGCAAAGCTATATATTCGGAAGGAGACAGATACAAGTACCACAATACTTCAGTTTGGTAAAGCATTCCAACTACATCAACCAGGAGGTGAAAGCTAGGAACAATGTTCTGAAAGCACTCACTTGCTGGGGCAAGGGTAAAGAAACGTTGGTAACGACATACAATTACATAAAATCGCACGAAACTATATATTTGAGATATATCTAAATCTGAACTGATTCCAAGGAATCCAGACAAAATTTTGTCTGGATCGGATAAATATTGGGTGTTTGGTGCACCATTTTCCATCCTTAATTATGCTGTCCAGGGCTGGACTTCCTTTATGAAACCCAGTAGAGATCCTTGCAAACTACTCAAAGTAATATACTCTCAAGCCATAAATGACTATAGATGCAACAACGTCCTACCCCAACCTCCTTCTGCAATTTCGGACAGTGAGAGATTTTGATTCTGGCACAATTACCATTCCGTTAGAGCAATGTTCTTATCCGTGCCGAAATAAGTGTTATCCTGCCAACACCGCCCCCTCGAAAGAACGTTCAATTTGTTACAACAACAATCACAAGACTTTGTTCCAACTTTTTGTAACTCCCAAAAATGTTGGAAAATCACATTTTTGAATAAAAAATAATTCATCGATTTTATTTTTTGTAAACAAAAAACATTTCTTATACAAAAATTGTCAAAATAAATAATTCAAATAAACGGGGTTTGTTTTCATAACAACTGTTTTGAAGACAGATTAGGCTATTTGTTTTCCTAATCAGACTGCAATAAATATTTGAATTATATACAAAATAGAAGAAACGCTATCTGCTGTTCGTTCGATTATTCTATTACCCAGGAAAAATGATAACATATTTTTGTATTTTCTTTTTTTTTTTTTTTTTGTATGAAATAAAGTTGAATGCATTTTCAAATAAACTGATTAGATTGCAGTAATGCAGACACAAAAAGCATGATGAAATGTGACATTTAAGACAATTTCTGCTAAATTTGTTTGTTTTTTAATGCATTAAATAATAAAATTTGATTATAAAATAACTTAGTATTTTTACAATGAAGCAATATGGTCTGGATCTATCTCCAAATTGGGATATGTGGTTACTTCCAATGGCTGCAACCACAGGTCTTGCGTTTTATATAAGGTTAAACATTTTTTTCTGCGCTCTAAATATTGCCGACGATTGAGTACGATGACTTTGTTCCAACATTTTGATCAGAGTTGTATGTCCTTCGATAGTTTGACAGCAGGTGGATTTGCAGCTATTCGTGGTTGCATCGTACCCTCCTTTCTACTATCATTTATACGGGCTCCCCTTCTGGTCGACTTCGACACTACCTTGTCCTCTTCGTAGTAGATGATGATGCCAAGAACCTCTCAACATACAGAGGGTTCTGAGTGATTATATTCATCTAGCTGAATTGAAGTAAAATGCATATTCAGCTAGCTGAATTGAAGTATAATTCATATTCAGGTAGCTGAATTGATGTACAATGAAATCTAGATTTTTATACCACATGATGGAACAATAATGTAGTTAATGATATATTCAGCTGGCTGAATTGTACCAAAATAAATTATATAAGGATTTTATACAGCAATCTTGAAAGAAATATCGTTTTTGAGCATATTAAGTTAGCTGAATTGAATAAATATACATATTCAGCTAGCTGAATTGTAATAAAACCACGAATTATAATTATTTTTTTTCAAATTATGATGATAATCAGCTAGCTGAATTGTGAGAAAATGTGCAATTTTATCGACTTATTTCAAAACTATTAAAATATTTTCTCTTTCATTTTCAGGTAAGCTGAATGTACATTATTAAATCTATTTTTTGAAGGATGGGGTAAGTTGATTTTTAAAGAATATTTTTTCAAGGCCCAATCGAGGCGTAGATTTTTAAAGAATATTTTTCCAAGGTCCAATAAGGTGTGCAATTTCAAAGAAAATTTTTCAATGCGCATATAAGGCGTGGATTTTGAAAGAATATTTTTCCAACGCCCAATCGAGGCGTAGATTTTTTAAGAATATTGTTTTCAAGGCCCGATCGAGGCGTAGATTTTTAAAGAATATTTTTCCAACGCCCAATCGAGGCGTAGATTTTTTAAGAATATTGTTTTCAAGGCCCGATCGAGGCGTAGATTTTTAAAGAATATTGTTTCCAATACCCAATAAGGCGTGAATTTTTAAAGAATATTGTTTCCAATACCCAATAAGGCGTGAATTTTTAAAGAATATTGTTTCCAAGGCCCAATAAGGCGTGGATGACATTGCGAAGGACTTCTTAATGGAAAGAATTTCTACGACGCGTGAGAAGGTGACCCCAGTCACGCCTCCAAAGAAGGAAAATACTGTGTGTAGTCTGAGCACAGCCGGTAAGCTCAGACTACACACAGTGTTCTCGTTTGGAGGGGTGACTGAGGTCACTTTCAC